ACTAATTTCAAAATATATTTATAGATAAACATTTGGGCTTGCTACCTCATCAATAGTGGTGATGTTAAATCCATACCAAGATATTTGACACCTTTCATATCCAAGTAGTAATGCAAGGGCGAAAATAGAAAATGAATCTTTATTTACTGCTTGAGAATGGATTGGGACATTTAATCCTTGAATATTTCAGTTTCATATTCCTCTCATAAACTTGAAAACCATTGATAGGCACAACACATATTCTTTGGACTCATCCAAATGTGCATTTACAGATGGAAAGCTGCTCTAGAAAAATGCATGCAACTGATGGTTGGCAAGCTGACATCCAGATTAGAATTTCTAGAGTCATACTGTAGCTTTCCATTTCAACAGCAACCAGTGCACAAGTACAGTGGGAGTGGGCAACTGTTTTCTGTTAAGCGCCGTATTCCTTGGGGATAATCTGTGTGGCCTACAGGATGGCAGAGGGCAGAACCAATGTCAAAAGTGAGCAAGATCTCTCTCTCTCACTGCCACGCCCTGTTCTCTTTGTAATCCCCTTCCACATCTCTTTCCACTTCTTCCTGTACAGCAGGTTACTAGGGGAGAGGCAGACCATTCCTGCCAGAGATCTGTATGGCTTGCTTGCCGAGGGTTTTCCAAATTAGGTTGAAGGCTGCATGAAATTAAGCTGAGGGTCACAGGTTGCCCACCCATAGCATAGTGGTACTTCTTCCAGAACTTTTTGATGGGCTGCAATTAGATGCATGCAATTAGTTTCATCTGTGAAGCTGTTGGGTGAATGGGTGGGGGGAGAAAATCATGAGCCCAGTATATCCAAAGGCTGAGTCTAGAATTTCTTTTTAGTCAGTCCATACATTATTGCTGTGGCCACAGGAATTGGCATACAATCTGTTCCATCCTTTTGCAGTACTATTGTACAATGTCTTTTGACACATCTGTATAAAGTTTATTTCCTTTAAGCAGATCAGAATATTCCAGTACAGGGGCCCATTATCAGGATTTGTTTTAAGTTATTCAACGCATCCTCATGCTCTGGCATTCATGCCCATGGGCTAAAGTGTTATCAGAAAAACTGTATGGGCTGCAAAATTTGATATGAATTTGCCAATATAATTCAACATACCTAAAAGTCGTTTAATCCCTTTATTTATCTTCTATTCTTGGCGTAATCACTGTGGCTTGTCTCTTTGATTTAGCTGGCAAGATTTCCTCAGAGGTTAATCTTCTGCCTAAATAAGTTGTAGATGTTGTTTAGAATTGGCATTTTGCTTTGTTTAACTTAAAATGGTTCATTGTTGCATTTTCCAGTACTCCCTTAATTCTTTCATGCTGCATTTTGCTGGTAGTGCCCCAAATGGTGATGCAATGTTTGTATAATTGCATATCAGTTATTTACACCTCCTGGCATCTCCTGACCCCATGCTGTGGCAGAATACCTAAGATTCTGTGAATAGTTCCTAAGAACAACCTTAGGAACTATTACCTACCAAAAGGTGTGTTAAATGTGCAAATCTTCGAGTATTCTTCCTATTGTGGAACCATCCTAAATCCAGTTTATGCAGCTGGGTTTCTTGTTGGATGGAATTTAGGATTTTTGTACATAAATAGAAGTGTTTGTTTATGTTTTTGTTTGTTCCTTAGAAGCAGTGCATGGTCTTATTCTCTAGTTATTTTTTTCTTTTTGATTATTTGATAGCAAACTCATTTTGTTGCTTCCTCTGTTCTTTTATTTACCTTATGTCTGAGATCTCCAACATAGTGCCAGTAGGCATTAAGCTATGCTCAGATAACTCTCTTGGTTCCCACCAGGTTTCCTGGCCCTCCTATTCTTAGTTTTTATTTTAAATAAGAATCTTAACTGGGATATGGGACATGCTGCAAAGTGGAGAGCAAGCCTCTAGTGTCATACCTGTTTCTAAGAATGCTTTGGATCCACATCAATAATTTTCTTCACAAAACCAAAACTTCTTTTGCCACTGGGTACCACAGAAAGGCTTGGCAAAACTCTTTCCTTTGTATCTAACAACCAGAGTATATTCCTTCCAGACTGGGATGAGTTGTTCTTTAAATTAGTTTAGAGCTACATTTCACTTTTTCATGTTTAGTTCCTTGTATTTCTGTACAAGTTCCTTGTACTTCTGTAGTTCTGTTTTGATTATTGTATTTTTCTGTACTGCAGCTTCTTTGGTATATGTGTCATTAGTAGTTTATTTGATGATTCAATATTTAGTGTTTTTGGGCTCTTCTCCGACACTGTTTTAAAAATAGCTTTCTTTCAAGCGAAGTGTTCTTCTGCCTCAGAAATTGCACTTTTTGTTTTCTCTATGTGTTCTGCAATAATACTGTAGTTTATAAACACTTTGCAATCTTTTATTCTCATGTTGTTGCCATATTTTTCCTGTTGTTTTATGATTGGGTGTGTCCTTCAGTATTTCTCTTGCATCTCAAAAGTATTGACAGTTGTCTGTTGCACACTGTCACTGTTTCAGAGCATACATATATTCCTAATTCTACTGCTGGACATATCAGGATTGCCTTTCTGGATTAGATCAATCATCTAAGTGATGGCACAATTGGGTGGCATACAAATGTTTTAAACAAACAAACAAACAAACAAACATTTTAGTAAGAATGCACATGCTTGCTAAAAAACAGTTATTGCATATAAAAACAATTATACCTTTAATACATGTATTGCATGTAATTATCTATATCCACATAGCTGATTTTTAAAATCCAATTCTTGCACTGTTTTGTCACATTCTAAATATACAAATGGGAGCTCCGACAAAATGTCACACTATAATGTGTTCTTATGCAGGTTCTTATTCTAAGCTACGTTGCTCCCAAATCTAAATGCTGATGGATAGCTCACAAGTTGCCATTTAACTGCATGCTTGCTCTGAGATAGAAATTTGAAATTTCTGGAAAGTTTGAAGTCTTTGAGAAAGACATCACATTTTTTCTCAGAAAACTGGAATTTTAGGAAAAATAGAAACATACAGGAGTCTGTTATTATTATTGTCCAAATACACTTCTGATGCTTCTAATTTTAATAGTTGAAACATGATAATTTAATGTAGCTTTACAAGAAAGGTTGTTTAACCTTAGGAAGTATTAGAAAAGGACTAAAGAGGCTTG